CTTCCAATTCGAATACTGTTGTTGAAACTATAACCCAGGCAGAGAGTAATATCGATTCAGACAACAAACCCTCGTCCCCAGCCATGATCGAGGAACCCTCGTCCCCAGCCATAGTACCCTCGTCCCCAGCCCTGATCGAAGTACCCTCGTCCCAAGTCGTGATCGAAGTACCCTCGTCCCCAGCCATGATCGAAGTACCCTCGTCCCCAACCGTGATTAAAGAACCCTCGTCCCCAATCGTAATGGAAGAAACCGAGTCCTACACTAAAACAACAATCGGTCAAGAAACCACTGTGACAAAGGATAAATGCGTCAAGGTACTTGGGGTCCTTTGGGACAATGAGAATGACACGTTTATGTTAGAATTTTCGAGTTTGGTTCAATATGCTCGTTCCTTGCCAGCGATGAAACGCTCTGTGCTAATGGTTACTTCGAAAATCTTTGATCCTGTTGGATTTCTAACACCATTTGTCATCAAGATGAAAGCATTATTTCAAGAATTGTGTGTCGAAGGAAGTGAATGGGACGACGAACTCAAACATAGACTTCTAACCAAGTGGAACACAATATTAGTCGAGTTAAATACCTTAAATGATTTACGGATTCAACGATGTTGTTTTAAATCTACAGAAAAGCCGATGAAGATACAGCTACATGGGTTTAGGGACGCCTCCAAAATCGCATATGCCGCAGTTATTTACATGAGATCTTTATACGAAAGTGAAACATCGAAGTAAGACTCGTAGCTTCAAAATCGAAGGTGGCGCCGTTAAAGGGACAAACGATTCCTCGCCTAGAACTGTTAGGTGCAAACATTCAAGCAAGATTAATCGCCACAGTGCAAGGGTGTCTATTTGAAGACAATTGCAACAATCAAGAAGTTGAGATAATTCATTGGACGGATTCCATGACAGTCCTATGCTGGATCGCGAACGATAAGTTGTGGAAGCAGTACGTAATGCATCGAGTGGAAGAAATTCGTCGATTGTCCTCCAAGGATTCATGGAAGTTTTGTCCCGGTACGGAGAATCCCGCAGATTTGCCATCTCGTGGAGTGAAAGCAAACGACCTTGTCTCCAACAAACTATGGTGGGAAGGTCCTGAGTTTCTTCAGAAATCCGAAGATGAATGGCCAAAATGTTCATCAGAGGAACCAGATACCGCATTAAATGAAGTAGTTAAGAAACAACCAGCCGTGACGCACTCTTTGGTAACAAGGGCTCCAACTCAAATCCACCAGACATTACAAAGAGTATGAATTGCGAAAATTTCTGTACCTTGACCCGCCTTTTTCGAGTGACCGCATACGTTTTGCGGTTTATCAACAATGTCAAGAAGTGAACTAGAGATCGAAAAATCACGAAAATGACGAAGCCGAAGGACTTATCAGCCTCCGAGATCAACGCTGCAGAAAACATCTGGATTCGGTCGATACAGAACGGTTCATTCCCGTCAGAAATAGAGTATTTATCAAGCAAGAGTCAAGGTTCGATACCGAATCGCGTACGTCAGTATGGACTGTTTATCGATGAACAAGAGCTCCTTAGATGCGAGGGAAGGATTGACAAGGCAAATATACCACGAGAGAGTAAAAATCCAATGCCAGGGGCGGATCTAGGGGTCGTCAAACCAGTCACGCTACTAACGTAAAAATCGCAAACTTAATTAATGTCTTAAATATTCGACCAATAGTCCAGTTATTTTTTATCATGCAGCGACACCTTATAATAGTCCAGTATCTATTATCATGCAGCGCTATCAATTAACATTCCAATTGAACTGTAGTCCAGTGATCAAGTTTCATACAGTGGTTGAGCCGACGAGCTTAGTCAAGTCAATGAGCAGCTGACATACGCAAAGTCGGTCAGTCAAAAAGTCAAAATCCAGTGTTCTGATTGGTCTAGACGCTTATTGCCATGGAAACATGCGCATTTTTTTCGATTTTGACTGATCTGTGGGGAGTTCTGACTGATTTACAAAAGTCAGGGGCGCCCCATTAGTCGAAATATCATTAATATTTGACGCGTGGTAAAGTCTTTCCGAGCGCGCGCTCATTCGAAGTGTCATGTTGGAGCTTTGTCGAAAGATTCAATTTAAAGATATCTACGGAAAATTCGGAAACGTCTGCTGCTCATTGGTTTGTAGTATTTACGAAACGGTTCAATCCGGATTTGCGGTGAATGATTTAGCTGTCTTTCAAGACTGTTGCGCTGATCTTGGGAGGAAAATCAACACTAAATATCGGAGAGTTCCATTCAGTGAGCAGTTGCTAAACGGCGTAACGCGTAAGCGCCACAAATAGCACGAACTACAGTTTGACTGTTTGGGTAGAAGTATTGGCGCCGAGATCTTTATTCTGAAGTGCAATAAGGTACATTTAATGTGATATGTAAATTTTATTTCGTTTTAGACAGCATAACAATATTTATAAGCGAACAAGATGCACGCCATGCATATGTAAAATTGTAACTTGAATATGCGTATCTTGATTTAGATTTAGCTACGAATTTTGATTTACACAATAAATTTGCATATTTGTAATTCTGCGGTTGAAGGACCGTTAGAACTCAGAAGGCTATTAATATGGAGGATAACCTATATAAATGCATTAATGCAGTATATATAGGATATAAAGGTCAGGTTTTATAGATGAATGTTAAGACTTTAATATTGATATATGTTTATTTGAGTAATATGACACTGTAGTGATTACTAGTCAAGTGACAATGACTCAACAAGGCTATTAGGCAACAAAAATGAGTGTAGTACTATCATGAGATAGTTAAACATAATACTAGCAATCCGAAATTTGATAAAATGAAACATCTTCCACAATTATCACATTTCTGCAAGTACTTCCCCTTTACTTTTCCCTAAGGAGCGAGTTGTGAGAGTCAGTCAGACTGATTGTTGCTATAATTATCTCCCATTTCATGAAGTTAATTTTTTGTTGAAGCTGCTTTCAGAGTGATGCAAATTGCGTTTCTGATGTTTAAAAATATAAAAATTCCTTGAGGACAGACCCCCTAGGTGCCTCGCGCATTCGCCGCTCGCGAACTAGACTGTACATCCGAAAACTTTGACTAACGTACGAAAAATCCTGGATCCGCCCCTGTCCAATGCTGCTTCCTGCAAAACATCCTATTATCGATCTAATAGTTAGAGACGTGCACCATCGAGTTAAGCATAACGGTATTAGGGACACATTGACGACTACTCGAGAACGATTCTGGATCTTACGTGGTAGAGAAGTGGTCAAGCGAATTCTGAAGAAATGTGTCGTATGTCGAAAGGCTGAAGGTACCCCGTATGGAGTTCCACCTCCCTCCCCCCCTCCCATCTTCCACCGTGTCACGTTACAGACGATCCACCGTTCACTAACGTAGGACTTGACTTCGCAGGACCGTTACTTGTTCGACCAGATAAGGAAGCTCAGTCATCAATCGAATCCCTTTTGAAGGTTTATGTACTGTTATTTACCTGCGCGTCTACAAGGGGTGTACATTTAGAACTTACACCATCCCTGAGCGTCTCGTCATTTCTACAAGCTTTCCGCAGGTTCGGCAGTCGAAGAGGTCTACCGTCGTTGCTGGTATCCGATAACGCCAAAACTTACAAATCAGCGTCCAAGGAAATCCGAAATTTAAGTCGAGCAGAGGAAGTTTGGCGCTACCTATCTAATAATCGTATAACGTGGCAATTCATTGTTGAGAAAGCCCCTTGGTGGGGCTGTTTCTGGCCCTTAAAGAAGGTAATAGGAAGAGCAAGTCTAACGTATGAAGAGCTGAGTACGCTTGTGGTGGAGATCGAAGGGCTGATCAACTCGCGACCACTAACTTATGTTTTCGACGACGACGAAACCTGCACGTCACCCTTGTGTCCCTCACACTTGATATATGGACGTCGTATCACCACTGTGCCGAATAGTCAACACTATGAAGTTATTAGCACGTATCAATCGTTAACGAAAAGAGCACGACACCACCGAAACCTAATTCAGCAATTTACGAAGCAGTGGAGAACTGAATATTTGTTGGGACTTCGTGAACAATCTAGACTTATGGCAAAAAATAACAAGACGGGTAATATTTCAATCAGTGACATTGTTATTTTAAGGAACGATAAAACGAGTCGTTGTTTTTGGAAGCTAGCCAAGGTTGAGCAACTTTTACATGGAGAAGATAACCTTGTTCGAGCAGCTGTTGTTAAGGTGTTAGGTGGCAAGATTGACAAAGCGCAACTTCTCCGAAGATCGATTAGTCACCTGATTCCAATCGAAGTGAAGCACCCGCTTAGCGAGGTCAAGAATAAATCGGAAGCAACAATTAGCGAACCGCCTGTATCGTTAAATACTCGTCCACGTCGTATGGCGGCGGTCATCGGAGAGCTTAAAAGAGCCGAACAACTGAAACATATCTGAAAAACTTAAGAAAACTTAACGTAATTACAGTAATGTATATATTCATATTTTATCGATTATTGTCAACATTGGGGAGTATTGTTGATCACTTGTACAGTGACTCAACGTTGTGGAGTGTTATAAAGATTCATTGTTATTATTCATTGTTATTATAAGGATTACGCAACTTTGGAACGCACGTGAACAATTTGATCACTGTGACGTATCACGTGAACATTTTTTGCCAGTAATTTATTAGTGTATTGTTTTTCGTATTTTGTGTACAATAAAATGTTTTGTGTGTATATTATCGAAGAAAAGGTCAAATTTATCGTAGAATTACTATTCATAACAGGGGCTGTTTACATGATGGAAGGTGGGATGATTTTTGATGTATTGAAATAAGTCACCAGGTTGAACAAAAGTTTAACTGCTTGTTAATAGAACTTAAATATTGTAGAGAAGATCTTGTAGTTCAAGAAGATTATTATTGCTGCTTGAACAACTTTTCGTTTACAGTTAACTATATATAAATCTATCTCTAGAAAATGAAATTTTTGCTGAATTGTGCACGGTGACTGATTTGAATACATCGAAATCATTCCGCCTCATATCTCGTCCTGGCAAAGCGGGATCATAAAAAGAGCCCCTTATTCAGCAAATTGCGCATGCTGCCTTTCATCCCTTCGGGGTGAGGCAGCACTTTCCTTACGATAGTAACTTCGTGACATTGGATATGATATATGCATGCAGACGTTCATCTAGACGTGTAAAATACATGGTTTAAAACTCATATTTTATCAAGTTTATGACTCTATGGCGGTTTTAGAAACACACGACAAACGCAAAAAATTCTTCGAACCCTCCCAGCCTTACTGAGATCAAGTTCAAAAAAGTTTTGGTCAGTTTTCAAGTCCGTTTCCAAGCACTCTAACATTTCAAACAAAATGACTTGGATCTGTCCAGATGGCCAGTAACGACTTCAGCGAACAACCCGACCAGCATTGCCAACTTACTCAACCACTACTTCTATTCCGTTTTTAAATCTTCTGAGAGCGACATAATCAGGCTAACAATATATAATCAGACTCCAGCATTACTCTGAAGGTCTACCATGTTCTTGCTGCTCTCGACGTGAACAAAGCGACTGGACCAGACAAAATACCGGCTAAATTTCTCAAGAATTGCGCCGTCTACTATCTGTTCATCGTTATGTGATCTGTTTAACAAGAGCTTGTCCATGGGTAAACTGCCGTATACGAGTGGAAACTTTCCAATATAATCCCAATCCCAAAGAAAGGCCCAGGTGAAGAAGTATCGAATTATAGACCAATATCACTTCTGTCCTTGGTCTAAGTTTTCGAGCGTTGTATTTATTGGTATTTATGTTTGTGTGTGTGGCAAATCTTGTGAAATAAAATAAAAATAGTGTATTGTATTTGAAAGGTATTTACGATATTTTACTGAAAATCACAGTACCCGATGTTCATATTTAAAGAGAATCAAACGTGCAAAGAGATTCTTTGTATATATTAGAAATACCCCCTTCCCCCTAAAAAATGATAAATTATACGGTATGCGTGTTCTAGAATGTTTACAGGGCCGTACGCAGGATTTTTTCACCAGGGGGCAGCAAGGCCTATTTGCCGGAAAAAAGTCCCAAATAACCGAAGAATAATTAATAATGACATTCTAAAAATCGTAAAATATCTCTCTCCTCCGCAGAGGCTTTAACTTCCCTTTGCCGCCTGCGCTCCTTCGCCCAGCAGATACGCTCGTGTTCCTAGATCCGCCATGTAAAGTGTAGTGAAATGTATCTCATCGTAATATTAAATCCCAAGAAAACTAAAGCCTCTGCGGAGGAGAGAGGTAAAATATAGTTTTCTCTAGGGGGGGCAGTTGCCCTCCCCCTGCCTCCCCGCTGTTTATGGCCCTGAATGTTTATATAGCATTGTGATAATATTTAAAGGCTATTATTAAAACCAGGAACACCGGAACACCGGAACACCGGAACACGGAACACCGGAACAGCATCATTCCGGAACACGGAACACCGGAACACTAAAAATTCTTAATTTGTTAAAAATTCGGAAAAAAAAATACCGGGGGGTGTGAAAGTATTACTGCAATAATTATTGCGTAAAACGTGCCTTTCTGACCGATAGCTACTAATGACGAACAGAAATCCTCGCAGAAATCAGTCTCAAAGTAATAAATATTTGCCCGAAAAATAGAAATCAAACCTAGAATTGTTATTTGTTGAGAATATTGAATGGCCTATCTTTGTTTGTTGTTGAAAACATGCATGACAATCAAAATATTAAAGTAACAACAGTTGATTGGCTTCCTTGTTTTTACCGACTTAGCTACTCTTGAAGTGCAAAAGGATATTAAATTTTCAATTCTCGTTCGAAGTTGGTATTCAGCATCGCTTTAATACAGACAGTTCTTTAATATTGATCCTTTCTCACACGAAATATTTTATAAGCGGCGATGGATAAAAAACCTTTAGCGCGTGATAATATAAACCTTTCGCTCAATTAAAATGACAAAAATACAAACAAGTTAGAGTTATAGAACATGTATTAAGTTGTATATATAAATGATGTTTCAACGCATGCATGTGTGTCTATTCGTTCATGTTTAAACTGTAAATTAAACTGACACTCAGTGAGGGAATTTTAGTACGAGTAAAAATCCTACGACTCTATCCGCGTTTTCGCTCGAGTTTTCGCTTGCTCTGAGATTCAATATTGTTGGCCGTCTATATATAATATGACATAGCATACCGAGCATACTAGCCTACAAATAAGAAGGTCGCACACGACGACGCGGTACTAGGCTATATGTCCTGACTCCTATATATATCATCATGGAAGTACTGACACAGTATAGGCTACAGCACGAAAGATTGCATACACTACAAATTATTCCCTTTTAGGATGCACCAGTTTTATATTTATAAACAACAAGTTGATTTTACAAACACGTCAGCAGAAGATCAACTTGTTGCATGTTTATAAATATAAAACTGGCGCATCCTAAAAGGGAAAATTTGTAGTGTATGCAATCTTTCGTGCTATAGCCTATAATATACTGTGTCAGTACCTCCATAGACCATAATCGGATATATACAGGAGTCAGGACATCAGATAGCCTAGTACCGCGTCGTCGTGTGCGACCTTATATGTAGGCTAGTATGCTCGGTATGCTATGCCATATTATAGACGGCCAACAATATTGAATCTCAGAGCAAGCGAAAACTCGAGCGAAAACGCGGATAGAGTCGTAGGATTTTTACTCGTACTAAAATTCCCTCACTGAGTGTCAGTTTAATTTACAGTTTAAACATGAACGAATAGACACACATGCATGCGTTGAAACATCATTTATATATACCAACTTTATAATACATGGTCTATAACTCTAACTTGTTTGTATTTTTGTCATTTTAATTGAGCGAAAGGTTTATATTATCACGCGCTATAAAAGCTTTTTTACCAGGTTTTTTATAAAATATTTCGTGTGAGAAAGGATCAAAATTAAGCGGAACTGTCTGTATTAAAGTGATGCTAAATACCAACTTCGAACGAGAATTGAAAATTATCCTTTTGTACTTCAAGAGTAGCTATTAAAGTCGGTAAAAACAAGGAAGCCAATCAACTGTTGTTAATACTTTAATATTTTGATTGTCATGTTTTCAACAACAAACAAAGATGGGCCATTCAATATTCTCAACAAATAACAATTCTAGGTTTGATTTCTATTTTTTGGGCAAATATTTATTACTTTGAGACTGATTTCTGCCGAGGATTTCTGTTCGTTATTAGTAGCTATCGGTCAGAAAGGCACGTTTTACGCAATAATTATTGCAGCAATACTTTCACACCCCCGGGATTTTTTTTCCGAATTTTTAACAAATTAAGAATTTTTAGTGTTCCGGTGTTCCGTGTTCCGGAATGATACTGTTCCGGTGTTCCGTGTTCCGGTGTTCCGTTGTTCCGGTGTTCCTGGTTTTACTAATAGCCGAGATATTGCCCGAAAACATGTGAACCGAAAACATACGGCCCGATGTCGATGACATGCATGAGGCATTGCCCGAAAACATGTGAACCGAAAACATACGGCCCGAAAACATGAGACATTGCCCGAAAACATCTGTCTTCACCAATTTATATTTTTGTCCCATTCCACCCCTCATAAAACTCGCTTAAACGACAATAATCAAAGCAGTTACGACGCAATATAAGGTCCACACCTAAGGGAAAGTACATTTATTATGCCGAGGTGGGGGGGGGGTGAAGATGTTAAGGAGGGGCACCGAAATATTTTCTGGCATTAAAGGGGGGCTCTGAAAGTTCTTGATATACTGAAGGGGGGGGGGCTCTAAACTTTTCAAAGTTTTGACCCCAGCAAATTCAAGTTAGAGTTTGACATTTTCAGGTAAAATTTGCGTAATAAAGTAATTATTTTTGTGAAATGATAACCATTTTTGTAAAATACAGTCAATTTACATGCAATTTGTTTGCGAAATTTGCTTTAGAAAACGCCAGAAGTTCAGTCCTAGAGCTTCAAAAATGTAAAAACTTAGTGTGCGAGTGCCAATCAGTGAACTCTAATAATAACTGGAAGGCTAACTCCTATGATGAAAGTCTATGATTCGTTGAAGCCGGCGCGCGGGAAAATCAGCTTTCAAAAGGACTAAGGAGAGTTTCGAGGAGTGAAAAAAATTCCGTCAAAAGTTTGTTTTCGAGCAAAAATGTGCAAGAAAAACACTTTTCCCATGGGAATACAACAATAACTTGGGATTTAAACCAAGTTTCCGATTAGTTCCGACTGTTTTACATCTCTCTGCAGCAAAAAGTAAGGAATTTTGCTTTTGTATTTTGAAAAAATGACGAAAGTTTGGATGTGCCGAAGGAAATCTCGCCGTTCAACTCAAAAATATATACTATAAAACATTTTGACAGTCCCAAAACTTATGTTTTACTAAACCCCAGGTATTGTTATTGATCCTGAGCTTTTAGTCCTTGTTTTAGTCGCTCTTAAACATAAATAAATTGGCGTTTTTCAAGTGATGTTATTTTCGTCATCGGCATCTTGTTGGCCACTATGAGCACTTTGAATATGGCAATATTTTTGTCAATTTTCAAATGCTTTTTTTTTCGACCTTAAAACGTTCAATCTTCTTGAAACTTCGCATACAGATCATACAGATGTATTTTGCATGGGTTTAAATAATTCCTGAGGTATGACGTCTTAGTTTTATCTTAAACTTCCAAAAACTCAGAAAAAGCAGCCTAAAACGCGCGGTTTTTCTGACTGTTCATGCTTATGGCCGTGTTTTTTCGTATTTTTTTGCTAATTCGTGATTTGTTTGCTTTGCGAATATTAAATTAATTTATAATACTACTGATATAAATTAAATTTGGTAGTATAACTAATATTTTGGGGCAAGATTT